GAATTTAAAAAAATGCAAAAATTATGGCCTTTGAATTTGTTACAGTTTTTTTTTATCTCACCCTGTACACATTGTCCAGAAGTCGTCCACCCTCTTGCCTACAAGACATCGCAAACGTCGAATTCCGATCATCAACTGAACAAATCTATTTCGAATTCCCGACCAAGATTTATATTTTAACAAGATCAACATTTTTAAATTTAAAATATCCACGATCTATATTCTCATAAAGTTTACGATTTTTACTTTGAGAAAATTCACAACTTTTATTATTAATAAATTACTGGTTTTTTTAAAATCTAAGATTTATATTTCTATAACATCTATGATATTTTTTTCTTAAGAATACGTCATCTGCATTTTTATGAAGTCCAAAATCTATGTTTTTTAAAATCAATTTTAAGAAAATCCATCAGCAGGAAGACTTTGAGAAATACTGATAAAAAACCCATGATTCTTGGCATAGCAAGTCCTGGAAAAATTGTTCAAAATAAAATCTTATAACCTTGACAAAGCTCGTGCTATGCAAAAATTGGTTCAAATCGGAGATCTCAAATTTCAAAACAATTTGACGTGGATGGGAGCAATTGAAGTTTTTTTCATTTAAAAAAATCGAGCTTAATTATATAAAATTTTTTTATATACTCGATATTTAGACCAACGATTATTTTCCTCTAAGATTTTTTAAAATTCTGGTTGTTTGCGATGTTGATTTTTCTTTGTTTTTGACATAGTTTTCATATATGTTTTGTGTCGAAGGTATGAAGATGAGTTGCCTAAAAGATTCCAAATTCTCATCTTACCTAAGTCTGATATAATTTTTGCATTTGTCATGTTTGGACGATGCGGTGTACTTCCTTCTTTCAAAAAACAAAAAAAAAAAACAACCTTCTGTAAAAATACCTTTATGTTTTCTCCGCAACGAAAACCTCCTTCACATACATTTGTCCAAAAATTCACTGATCATTTCTTTAAATTTTGAATGTTCATTTAATCAAAATTCTACACTCATTCATTGAATTGCAACACTTTCTTTAAACTACTTGATTTTATCAAATTTTTCAAGTGACTCGCAAATTAAACCTCTTACGGTTAGATCTTCAATAATTTGAAATGCCAATTGCTTGCACTTTATGTTCATTGCTATCAAATTTTTAATTAAATTCTCAACTTGTGTTGGAATATTTGAAGAGGTATCTTTTTTTAAACACATGTGCCGTACCCACAGAAAAATTGAAACACACACTTCAAAACTAGGTAGACAATTTAGAGTAATCGAAAGAACAAACAAAAAAGTGACATTTTCAAAGCAAACAAGTGCATCTACACCACCACACCCAGTCATGCAATGATCTAGGATGGGTCTATTTAAACTGGTCAGAAGTGGTCATATCAAAATTACCAAGTCTTGGTTGAGTGTCTTGGACTACAAAAATAAAAAAGAAGCTGTATGAAATACTGAAATGTTATTTTTATACCCTACAACACTGTGTGTTGGGGGCATTATGAGTTTGATTGGGACAAAAATTCGCTTCGAAATATTGGTTTCCACATCGGAAAGTATATATGAATATTCCTATCTCGCCGAGCTGAGTCGATCGAGCTATGCATGTCCGTCCGCCCGTCTGTCAGTCTGTCCATGTTAATTTGTAATAAAGGTACAGGTCGCAATTATGGCCCGATCCTCAGGAAATTAAAAATGGAGGTGGGGTTAGGGTCAGAATAGAACCCCATTGTTTTTGGAGATAATTGCAAAATATTCAGGGGTTGAAATGCACCAACATTTTTCCGAATTTTGCAGTTGCTCTATAAACCACAATTACGACCCAATCAACGAGGAAATTTACATGGAGTTAGAGTTTAGGACTGGCAGAAGCCTACCAATTTGGACTGCCATCGGACAATATTTAGTGGGTAAAATAGACCCCAAATTTTATGTAAGTAAATAATAAAATTTCCACTGAACCGCGAATATTTTTAATACCAACCAGATCACATATACATTAAAAGGTCACTTCTGACCACTAAAGTGATGCTGATAGCCAAGAAATCGGATATATAGCAAAATAGGTACACTATATATGTAAAACAGAAAAATCTTATTTATTCTGCTTATAAGTCAAGAACCGCTTACAATTCCCATTGATTCGGAATGAACTCTTGCCAGAAACGGATAAAATCGAAGAAAATCGGGGAAAAATATAGCAATAAACAAGTAAAAAAGCTGTAAGTTCGGCCGGGCCTTTGAACTACTTTGAATACCTTCTACAATTTGATACATATTTGGCAATTTTCAAAAAAATAAATTCCGTTAAAAATTCTGTTAAAATCTTAAAACATACCGAAAGTAGCCGTATATAAGGGTCTATACGACGACGTAGACCTGCATAGGCATCTTTTGTCATAAGCTATTACAATATTCAAATGCAAAACTTGAAAAAAAAAAAAAATCTGTTTATAATGTAGCTAAAATCATAAAAATACCGAATATAGTAAGGTACCATAGGGGTTATAAAACGTGGAACTGCACAGACAATTTGCTGGTATAGGCTGTGGTATCCATTACGAACTTCAAATACAAAATTTGAAATAATTCCTGTAAATAATGTCGCTAAAATCATCAAAATACCGAATATCAGGATGTACCTTTATTTGGGGGGTATACGAAGACGTGGGCCTACATGGTCCATTTTCTGTTTTATGCTGTAGTATCTATTACGAACTTTAAATACCAATTTTGGGTTTTTGAGTAAAATTTTAACAACCTACTTCATTTCGTTCGGAAGCTATAGTGATTTCCACAGACGGATAGACGGACAGACGAACGGACATTGCTAAATCGACATAGAATTTTATGCTGATCAAGAATATATATACCTTGTAGTGTCTAAAATGTATATTTCGAGGTGTTACAAACGGAATGACAAACTTAATATACCCTCCATACTATCTTGGAGGGTATAAAAAGTGAATAACTTTTGTTCCATTTATTTTGCAGTTTTTGTCATATTTTTATTGCATTCGATTTTTTTTTTTTTTAATTTAACTTTGAATTGTAAATTTCCGAAGGTATAATATGCATGTCGAAATTATCGTCCAATCCTCACGAAATTTTGCATGGGTGTAGGGTTAGGGTCAAAATTAAAGCCTATTGTTCTTGAGATGTACATCTGGATGGACAATTGAAAACTAATCGACACGGAATTTCGCATCAGAAGAGAGTTGAGGACAGGTGTATTATTTTTGACATTATTTCAAAAACGAAATCTTCCAAAATGGGTTTGGACATAAGGGGACTTTGAACAAATTGTAGCGTTGCAGGGTATCACATGGTCGACCCCGCACGGCTATAGCCTTTGCTTACTTGTTTCTTTATAACTTAAGTCAGATTTCTGAATACTCCTCAAAGTATGTATATATATTCTTGATCAGTATAAAATTCTATGTCGATTTAGCGATGACCGTCCGTCTGTGGACATCACTCTAGCTTCCAAACGAAATGAAGTAGATTGATACAATTTTACTCAAATGTATATCATGTCTGCAGGACTTTTGGTATTGAAAATGACCTTGTAGGTCCAGGCATAGCCCCCATATGATAGTAATTCCCCATTTTCGGTATTTGGTTGATTTTAGCCACATTATTCACTGGAATTGTTTCAAATTTGGTATTTGAAGTTCCAAAGGGATACCACAGTTTATGACAGAAAATTGTCTGTGCAGGTCCACGTCTTCGTATAGCCCCCCATATAACAGTTCCTCCCGATTTTCGGTATTTTGACGATTTTTGCGACATTATTCACCGCAATTGTTTCAAATTTGGTATTTAAAGTTCGCAATGGATATATTCTGCAGCCTATGGACCGAAAATTGTCTGCGCAAGTTAATTTTTAGAAAATTGCCAAATTCGTTTGAAATGGTGGAGAGTATTTAAAGTTCGGCCCGGCCTAATATACAGCTTTTTTTCTTTTAAAAAAAATAAAAATTGCAAATATTACTAAACAAAATATTTTTTTCTTAAATTTAATTTTTCCACTTAGTAGTGTGACACCTAATATTTATTGCTTCAGAATCAGTTCCAGTTTTCGGCAAGCAATTATAGAAAGTATAAATCATTTGACTAAATTAACAATTTTTGACATTTGTTTATAAGAATACCTAAAATTCGATGTTCAAAAGTGCTCACCTTCATCGCTATCACCGGTCTAGACAGTGTAATAGTTATTTATCTTCTGTTGTCTTTCCTCAAGCAAATCGAATAAAAGCAATGCAATTATTTAAAAATTGTCAAGTTATTTAAAATGTTATTCTTTATATTAAAAAAATGAATAAACCCATTTTCAAAGTTGATCTCCGATAACTTTACAATTATGTGCGCTCAACCAATTCTCGTTATATTCATATGAATGAAAGTGTTTAACTTTTGTGGTGAAAAAAAGTCGACAGAGTACATGGAACACACGTTCAATAATTTATTTCACCCTTAATTTTATTTTTCTATTTTCAAACAAAAAATGCTAACGCTCTGCCGAATGATTGATACCACCGCAAACCACATATTTACGTCAATTATATAAATATAAGTCATTATGAGTAGAACTATTTTAATACAAAAAGTGTTTTTAATACAATCGACAACGCATTAGAAAAATGAGAAAAAAAATCGTAATCAAATGGAATTTGAATTTTATGAAGAAATTCTACGAACAATATGGTCTTCTTATAGAAGAACATAATTGCGGGACACTTCGGATCTATCTTCTTGATGCTTTTCTTCTCCAAAAATTGTATTATATTCAAATATACAGGGTGAGATGAAACAAAAAAAAAAAAAAATACAGCCAACTACAGACTGCTATCATTTCTAAGCCACTCGTCCGACAGCTGTAAAAATTATTCCAGTGAAAGTTCATTATACTGCTTACAAGCGTACAAAAGCATTTTGGTGAGAATTCTCCAGAAAAAAAGCTATTCGTGATGGAATTCAAGCGTGATAGTGTGATTTCTGTATATTTGGCTGGAAAACTACAAGTGGCTATCGTTAGAGCAATCCAGCATTTAAATGTGAATAAATTCTTTGCGTCTCGTACCATCGCTGGTTACGGTGATACTATAAGCGGAGCCCGACGTCAAGGAAGTAGACGGAAGAAAACAGCAATATCAGCAGAAATGGTTTGAAAAGTAAAGAAGCGACTTGGTCGAAACCGGCGTCGCAGTGGCCGAAAAAATGGCTCGTGAGCTGAAAATATCGCAATATTCCATTCGGCAAATATTGAACAATGAGCTCGGGGTAAAGCCATTGAAATTCCAAAAAATTGCAAGAACTTATACCGCACCAGAAAGAAAATAGGCTCAAAAGAGCTAAAGAGTTGCTTTGCTTGGCTGAAAATGGTGAACTACCGAATTTGGTTCTCTCCGATGAGAAAACATTCATTGTCAGCAGTTTGTAAACAAACAAACTGATCGTGTTTACTTGCCAAGGAGGTCAGCTGAAAATCTGAAACTTCTGTTGGTCACCAGAACTCCAGCGCCGGCCATGGTGATGGTGTGGGCCGCCATAACAGCCGATAGTCACTCTCCGCTCGTATTAACCGACCACGACATCGGAATAAATGCCGATGTTATTGCGAAAATATTCTGGAGGGTGTATTAAAGCCTTGGGAACGCAAACATTTTGGCCGCACACCTTGGACATTCCAACAAGAATCAGCACCATCGCACTCAGCACGCGCCACCCAAGAATGGTTAAAAAAAGGAGGTTCCTCGCTTAATTTCCAACGCACAATGACCACCAAAGTCTCCGGATACCAACCCTTTTTGTACTATTGTGTCTGGAGTATTTTGGAAAGCAAGGTTGGTACTAAAAAATTCCAAAGTGTCGATCACCTCAAGCAAGCGCTTCGCCGGTAATGGGCCAAAATACGGCAGAGCAACATTCGGGCAGCGTGTGACGGTTTCATTTATTGCCAAGGTGACCACTTCGAACAAATCTAAACATATTCTAAAATTTGATGCTTTTACCGAAATTTTTTGCTTTCATTCAAAAAAATTTAAAAATTATGGCGTTTGACTTTGTTGCAGTTTTTTTTATCTCACCCTGTAGTTCAAACCTGGAACGTCGCAATATTCATATCATATTTATTCAGGTCCTATACGAAATGGACAATGTTAGCCCATTCCTTCGGAACCTACACCATATATGGTCCACAAAGTTGATTAATCAAAATATATTTAAATAATCGAACATTGGCTGAGGGTACACCTCAAAACCGACTGATACTTTTTAACTTGTTTTTCTTTTTTTTATTATTCAAACACTTTTCATTTTCGTCCTCAACTCTTACACTTTCAAACTTAACACAACTTAGCGTGATTGCCAACCTGCTTTACAAATTCTGAGTAGTCACAGCAAAACGAAATACATGCCTCTGGATCGCTACTAAACGATATACCCTGAGGACATTGTGTTGGCTGACAAATGTTTGTAGCTCTTATCGCTGGATTTTTCGAATGATCATTCAGCGTTACAAAGACATGACAGCGATTATTATATTTGACAACTTTATACAACCACATTGGCATGGGATTTTTTTCGCCGGCCATTAGATAAATGGGGACGAAACGATGGGTCTGACTGTGCTGCAGATATTGGACGTCATGGGTTCCGCTCAACACCGTGGCATAAGTAGTTGCGCTGGGTAATTTGTGAATCCAATTCTCGACATGTTTCCAATTGCGAATGTTACAACCGCGTGCCATTGGCACCACATTCATATACAAAAATGTTGCGTCCATTTGATCATAGGTGAGAAAGTCCTGAGAATTCGCCATGTGGCCACGTTGCAGGGCAAAATCTCTGTTCGACTTAATGTACGTCTGCTGCGGACCCAAAAGTGTATTGAATCTTTGGTAAATATCATCGGCTTCGAATGATTTTACGCGGGCTCCATTCATATGACCCAATTGCTTAAATGTGGGTCGTAGTCTTTGATTGTAAATTGGGGTTGCCAAATTGAAGCCATATGTTCGATGAGTGCTATACAAAACAGTCTCCCGCTGCGTACTATAGCAAATGCTGTAAAGGGTGATACTATGGCCCGTTGACCATTTGTAGACCATGTCGTACAACTCGCCCGACACACCACTGGCCGAACATGGTTTCTTTGTTGCTTGCACCGTTAACTTTAGGCGATCAGTACAGGCAGCTCCCGCTGGCATGGCCTGGAGAACGCCCCGACTACAGGTTAAATCCACCGGTTGTGTACGTTCATTGCAATAGAGTGTCAAGGAATCACCATCTGGTATGTAATCCGTGCGAAGAATATCATTTTTGTGAATGAAAATGAAATCTCGTCTCATATTCGCTTCGCTTAGTTGACAATTTTGAGCCCAGGCGACTGCAAATTTTTTGAAAAAAAAAAAAAAAATCATATTGCGTTTTGTTTTTATTTCATTATTCTTGGAATCTTACCATTGGAAATTATCAGAACGTAAAAAACAAATGTGTGAAATAGTATTTTGTTTCCCATAATGTAGTAGTAGCGCTGAAATGTTCTTGCTCTCGTTTGCGTGATAAAAATGAAGGCAAATCACATTTGTGTCGTATTTATACTTGTGATCTTGACATATGAGTCATTCAATATTATTTTTGCTGCAATGAAAAAAAATATAAGCGGACGAACTTAGTTGTTGGGAAGTAAAAAAATTTGAATTATATATGCATTATTTAATTACTCTATTTCTACATATTTAAACAAACAGCTCAAAAAAAAAAAAACAAGTAAAAAACCTGTAAGTTCGGCCGGGAAGAACTTTGAATACGCTCCAACATTTGGAAAGCATTTGGCAATTTTTAAAAAAATAAAGTCCGTTAAAAATTCTGTTAAAATCTTAAAATACCGAATGTAGCCGTTAATTTAGGGTATATACGACGACATGGTCCTGCATACGCTACTTTTGTCATAAGCCATCACAATATTCAAATGTAATACTTGAAAAAAAATCGGTGAATAATGTAGCTAAAATCATCAAAATACCGAATATAGGGAGATACCATTATATGGGGCTACACCAAAACGTGGACCTGCGCAGACAATTTTCTGTCATAGGCTGTAGTATCGATAACGAAACTTTAAATACCAAATTTAAAACAATTCCGGTGAATAATGTCGCTGAAATCGTCAAAATGCCAAATATCGGGAGGTGCCGTTATATGAGGGCTATACGATGAAGTGGACCTGCACAGACAATTTTCTGTCTTATGTCGTAATATCAATTGCGAACTTCAAATACCAAATTTGAAACATTTCCGGTGAATAATGTAGCTTAAATCACCGAAATACCGAAAATCGGGAGGTACCATTATATGGGGGCTATACCAAAACGTGGACCTACATGGCCCATTTTCAATACCAAAAGTCCTGCAGACATAATATACATTTGAGTAAAATTGTATCACCCTACTCCATTTCGTTCGAAAGGTAGAGTGATTTCAACAGACGGACGGATAAATCGACATTTTATGCTAATCAATAATATATATACTTTGTGGAGTGTAAAATGTATATTTTGAGGTGTTACAACGGAATGAGAAACTTAATATACCCTCCATACTATGGTGGAGGGTAAAATAATATGAGATTATGAACTTGGAAATAAAAAACACTTCTATTGGCGTTTTTGAAGTTTACATCCATAAGTAACCTAAATCGAGGTGAAAAGTTTCCCCATCTTCAATTTTGTTTTTGAAATTTTCGAATTGTTATAATTTAGTAGATTTTTTGGAATTTTTACATTTTAGATGTCTTTGGTAGTTTTATTGATAAGCGAGTCACCAAATTGGTCTTCAAATGAGGTAGTTGCCAGTTAAAATATTCTACAAATTTTTTTTTCACAAAAATTCAACTATAGATAGTAGAATAAACCAAAGGTCTATTTATTACCTTAACATCAGAAATCCATAAATTGTAAACACACATTTTAGGGTTAAAGCGTATTTCCTGTGAGTTCATACAAAATTTTGCAAAAACAGAGACAAAAAATACTCTTTGTGTGCTACTATAAGTCACCAATGTAAGAATATCGGTATTTCCATTATATTTCAAAACAAGTAAAAACATTAAGTTCCACCGTGCCATTGCCATTGCGAACTATAAATACAAATTTTTAGACAAATTCGTAAAAAAATGTGGCAAAAATTATTAAAACACCGAATATGAAGGGGGAGTGGGGGTACCGTTATATGGGCGCTATACCAAAACGTGGACCTATATATACTATGTTCTGTCGCCGGGGCAAGAACACTTTATATCCTATCCTATTAATCCTATACTGCATCAAAGACCCTAATTTCAGATTTCTCAACTTACAAAAATTGGTTGAGGGTACAAGTATTACATTTCTAGCTATATTCATTCCTAATATACCAAATTTAGTATAATTTAGTGCTTTTTGAACTATTTAGTACATATTTCCAAAATACACATTTCCAAAACCACTTACGTATATCGATACCCATATACCTCAATATCAAATGTCAGAATTTCAGCTCTATACCTTCATCCAATACCCTTTTTAGTACCTTTTAGAACTTTTCGGACAATTATGGCACACATTTCTAAAAACACCTCCATATCTCAGTTCCAGATACCAATAGAGATCTCAATATCAAATTTAAGGATTCCAGCCCTATCCCTTTACCCAATACCAACTTTAGAACCTTCCAGTACTTTTCGAACAATTATGACACACATTTCTAAAAACACCTCCATGTCTCAATTCCAGATACCATCAACAATCTGAATATCAAATTTAAGTATAACCAATTAATGTACCATTCAGTACTTTTCGTACATTTATAGTACACATTCCCAAAACCACCTCCATATGACCAGACTACACATAACCAGCGGCCTTAATATCATATGTTCAAACACAATTAGTTCACCCAATACCAAGTTATACCAAATGTAATACTATTTTGTCTCTTCATCCGTTCACCCCAAACCAACTCTCTTCCAGATTTCGTACCATTTAGTAAAGTTCACACACTTAATACACATTCCCAAATCCACAACATATATGAATGTTGTTTCTAGCGCTCAGTCAGTCAGTTATATCTTTACTATTATGTATATATAGATTTCAATTATTTTTTTCTCATATTATATATTATTTGACTTGTTTATATAATTTTGCATTTATTATTATTTGTATTTATATATATATATATATATTTTTAATTTTTATTAATTTATGTTTGCTTGGTCTCGTTTTGAACACATATTTATTTTTACTATTTTATATATTTTTACATTTATACAGCATATTCTCACATTTGCCAAGAATCGCTCATATATACGTATGCCCACATTGAATTAAATTTAGAATCAACAAACATTCTTTATGACGTTTTATGTGGTCATCCTATTATAAGATAAGTTGTGGCTTTGCAATCTCAGCAATATATTAGAATGTACTGATTTGAATGAGAATTTTCGGCACACATATTAAAAATAACATAGAAAATATTAAACAACAAATTACATTTATTGCTTGATGTCGGAACACTCCAGTGTGCATGTAGAGCCAACTATTTTAATAAACAATAGAAAAAATTAATGTAAAAATTTAGGATTGGAAAATCCACATAACGTTTTGTAACTTACGCTTTGAATCATAATAATTTAATTTTGTGGGTAATTTTGTTGATTGCTATAGGGATAGACCTATACTTGTAAGAAAAATTTTTGTAAACAATTATCAAATAATGGAAGCAATGAGTTCGAACTTTTGAAGGCCTCCATCATGGGGACATAAGATCATTGTAGATTTTTGGGAATATTTTCATTGAAGTCGTATTTTTTGGAGGGAATCTCCGATTTCATAAAAATTTTTAGATTTTTTATTTGTTAAATTTTAAAATAGGTGCTTATAGAGAATATATGGGTGCACCAATGATTTGAAACTGATAAGAATAGATTTAGATTTTTACAAGAATACACTGTGAGATGCAAAAACTGAAACCAACTTAAGACTGCTGTTATTTCTAAGCCACTCGCCCGACAGCTGTTAAAATTATTCCAGTGACAGTACATTATATTGTTTACAAGCGTACAAAAGCATTTTGATGAGAATTTTACAGAAAAAAAATTATTCGTGATGGAATTCAAGCGTCATAGTGTGATTTCTTTATATTTGGGTGGAAAACCAGAAGTAGCTATCGTTAGAGCAATCCAGCATTTAACTGTGAATAAAACTTTTGTGCCTCGAACCATCGCTCGTTACCGTGATACTGGTAGCGTAGCCCGACGTCATGGAAGTGGACGGAAGGGAAGACAACAGCAACATCAGCAGAAATTTTTCGTAAAGTAATGAAGCGACTTGATCGAAACCCGCGTCGCAGTGGCCGAAAAATGGCTCGTGAGCTGAACATATCGCAATATTCCATTCGGCAAATATTGAAAAATGAGCTCGGGGTAAAGCCATTGAAATTGCAAAAAATGCAGGAACTTACACCGCAACAGAAAGAAAATAGACTCAAGAGGGCTGAAGATTTGCTTCGCTTTGGCCGAAAGCGGTGAACTGCCGAATTTGGTTTTCTCCGATGAGAAAACATTCGTTGTCCAGCAGTTTGTCAACAAAGAAATGATCCTGTTTACTTACCAAAGAGATCAGCTGAATATTTGCACCTTCGGTTGGCCACCAGAACTTAAGCGCCGGCCATGGGGATGGTGTGGGCCGCCACAACAGCAGATGGTCGCTCTCCGCTCGTATTAATCGATCGTGATATCAGAATAAATGCCGAATATTATCGCGAAAATATTCTGGAGGGTGTATTAAAGCCTTCGGCACGCAAACATTTTGGCCGCAGACCTTGGACATTCCATTAGGACTCAGCACCATCTCACTCAGCACGCGCCACCCAAGAATGGTTACAAAATAAGGTTCCTCGCTTCACTTCCAGCGCACAATTGTCACCAAAATCTTAAATCTATTGTGTCTGGATAATTTTGGATAGCAAGGTTGGCACTAAAACATACCAAAGTGTCGACCACCTCAAGTAAACGCTTCGCCGGTAATGGGCCAAAATACCGCAGAGAAACAATTGGACAGCGTGTGCCGGTTTCATTGGCCGTTTGAAGGCCATAATTCTTGCCAAAGGTGACCAATTCGAACAAATCTAAACTTATTCTAAAATTTGATGCTATTTCCGACACTTTTTCTTAAATAAAATTTAAAAAAAAATGTGAAAATAATGGCTTTTGACTTTGTTTCAGATTTTTTTATCTCACCCTTTATACGTTCAGCATTGCCAAATTCTATAATTCCACATCACATGAAGCCTTCCTATGTATTGTAATTTATTGATTTCTATGACAATCCAAGTTACATATTAATTTCCTTTCAGCTTTATAAGCTACTCAGCAATTTACATTATTTCACGGACGTTATTCTCCCCAACAAAGTACTTCAATTCAATTCCACACAATCACCAAAGTATCCTTCATTACAATTGCTACAGAGTCTTCATTAACTAGGAAGTAACATTAGCTACTCTTAAAAAAAAAAAAA